TTTTTTTTTTTATCTTGTTTTGGTCTTAACATTCGATATTCTCCATTCTGCTTTTTATGTATGCCTTTTTTGTTGTTGCTTTTACTGCTACTTCTCTTATAAAATTCCCATCTGTTTAAAAAAAACAAAAAAAAAAAAGCAACGGATAATTTACTCATTTCCGAGCAAAGTGAAAAAAAAAGTGGAAAAAATCTGTTTTTTTTTTCGTCTTTTCAAGCTATTTTAAAATTTAGAAGTACAAGTAAAATTCAAAAGGAAAAAAAATAGAATGAAAAAAAAAGCTAACACTTCCATTATGGTTACAAATCGATGGTTGTACATTCAAAAAAAGAAGTTTTTTTTGGGTAGAATCTGTAATGTAGTGAAAACTGTATCAAAAAAATAAGTGATTGAGAGATGGTTAGTTACATTTACACCATCGTACTTTCATTTTTAAATTGTTTAAAAAGTTTTACCTGCCTTTTTTTTTATTTCTTTTGAAAACAAAACACTCAATAAAATATAAAAATAAGAGTAGATTACTGTAAAGAATTCAAATAATTATAAATTTTCATTGATCTCCAGTTGCCATAATGAAAACAAGTATTTTCAGCGACTGAACATACCAGCCAACACCATTCCACACTTTAGATGAAGGCTATTCAGAATTGCAAATGATCAGTAATCAAAGAACGATGGATTCCAATGGTAGTTCATCTAACAATTATACAACTGTTCGTTCTCATACTTATCAAATATTTGTGCAATTGAAAAATATAATAAAAGAAAGACAGCCACAATTAAAAATTATTCTTTTTAACAAATTTGCCTTATTCTTACATTTTTTCATCAAACTTATCTGAACGTTAAAATTTCCACCTTCAAAACATTAACCTCAACATAAACAGTATGGGATATAATGATTTATTTCAGCTAGCTCATTATTCTGTGCCTCGTTCTGCTAAACATAGCCATTATTTTATTTTTCCTTCTTTCTTACAACCTTTTATCATTTGCTAACAAGTATTCAAGTTGAAATATACAAAAACAATAAAAAAAATTTCTTCTTTCTTTATGCAACATTCGATAAATATATCGGTATGGAAAGCATCTGTAAATATCACAGTATTTTATGCTATCACTTTACTGCGCTTAGTAACAACTGAAGTCTATTATTAATGGGTGTAAAATAAATGATTTTGGCCAACTTATATCCAAAAACGTACAAATGTATGATGAAAAAAACATTTAAATTTTCAGCTTTAACTGCTACCGTCTAAGCAGAGGAAAAAAAAGAAATAAAGGAGGAAGAAACTAGGTCTTGACCAACAAACAATCCGTTTTAAAGTTCTATGAGAACGTTATGAAAATTTTCAAAAGCATTACTATCTTCTAACTTATCGATGTCTCAATACAAATTTATTTTTAATCATAAAACAGTTAATGCCTCTATTGCATTGATTTATTTTAGACTTATATAGCTATTACTTCAGTTACCAAACTTGGTAACCCTTGTAAGCCTATTCCGGTTATGTGTAGTTTGTTATTATTTATCAACTCTCCTCTACATCGTCTGGCCAAGAGGTTGTTTTCACCCATTGTTCACCGGCTTTTAATTGGTAACCAAAAAGTTGTGAAAATTATACGGTGTGGATTGTTTGTTAAAAACCTCTCAAAAGTGCTAGCACCCAAACAAATTCTTATACTCATAGCTATTTCAACCGGCATTTCCAAATCGTTGCCTTGACGTAATTGCTGCTTAACAATAAACAAATAATATCAATGGTGGGACTACTAAATTTGAGAAAACAGCAATCAACAACGGCTTTTGCAATCCCATAACTATTTGGAGGTTTAACTGAGGTTTTTGCGGATATATTCCCCAAAGGACAATAGTCCTTAAGCGACGAATTCTTATCCTTCTTGGAGACTAAGCTCTTGCATAATAAACAGCAGGTCATAGCACCCCAAACCAGCTCCTAGAAGGAATGTCAGCTTAAGGAATCCAGTTTTTTAGAAATTGTTTTTTAGAAGTATCGCTTAAATTTCTCGAAATTTTATATGATCTCTCCAGATTGTTTATCATCTTGATAGTCTTCTCTACAGTTACTGTAATTTTGTTTTGTTCGCTTCTTTTTCACGAGTTGTGCTTAAGGGCAGTTTAGGAGTCTTTAACCTTGAGTTTATTAATTATTTGTTTATAGGTTTATTTTGTTGTTTCTGGTACAAGTTCATATTAATTTGTTGAAATTATTAGAGAAGTTGCAAGAAGTCTGTGCTCAATCTTCTTCCAGCTACGCAAAGTTTCAGTGTTTGGATAATTGTCATAACTGATAAGGATCCGAGGCAATAGTTTGAAAACCAAGTCGTGGTAACTCGCAACACTGCTATAGATTTTCATGGTTCCTAGACCCATTCGTCCGCAAAAAGCAGATTGTAATTCTTTTAAATGGTTGGCGTTGCAAAAAAAGCGAGCGGTTATTTGGTTCTTACAGTAGAATTGTAAGTTTGCGTTGCAAATTCCGACGAAAAAGTGTAGAGGGGACGGTAACTTTTCTTCGCCTCAAAGACTTATCAGAAAGCCAAGACAGAGTCATTTGTTGGCCCAATTTGAGGTCTTAGTGGAACGACCCAAAGATTTTTACAGACTAAGATTTAGAAAATCAGGGTTTCCGAACCTAAAAGTAGGTTAAGAGCGATTGACGC